ATTTTACAGATCTGACCAATACTAAAGTTAGAAATGTATCCCTGGCAATATTTTACAGATCTGACCAATACTAAAGTTAGAAATGTATCCCTGTCAATGTTTTACAGATCTAACCAATACTAAAATTAGAAACATATCCCTGGCAATATTTTACAGATCTGACCAATTCTAAAATTAGAAACATATCCCTGGCAATATTTTACAGATCTGATAAAAACTAAAATTAGAAACATATCCCTATCAATATTTTACAGATCTGATAAATACTAAAATTAGAAACATATCCCTATCAGTATTTTACAGATCTGATATTAATGTTTTACAGTTGTAATACTGACATAATAATGACCAGTTAAAGGTCATCATGGACAAAAAAAATGTGCAGAGAAGATGAACTGAATAATTGACCAGATAAAAGCAATGGTTTTGTCATTATGTACAAAAAGACTCGTATAGAGCAGATTAACAGAATAAATGACTAAATGAAGGTCATAGTGTCATTACTTATATAGAGCAGATTAACTCAGTATCCCACCAGATAAAATAATGTTGTTGTCATTATGTATAAAACGACTCGTATAGATAAGATGAAGTAAATAAACCACTAGATGAAGGTCATGGTGGTGCCATTACTTATATAGAGCAGATTAACTCAGTATCCCACCAGATAAAATAATGTTGTTGTCATTATGTATAAAAAGACTCGTATAGATAAGTTGAAGTAACTAAACCACTAGATGAAGGTCATGGTGTTGTTACTTATATAGAGCAGATTAACTCAGTATCCCACCAGATAAAATAATGTTATTATTATGTACAAAAAGACTCGTATAGAGCAGATTAACTGAATAAATGACTAGATGAAGGTCATAGTGTCATTACATATATAGAGCAGATTAACTCAGTATCCCACCAGATAAAATAATGTTGTTGTCATTATGTATAAAAAGACTCGTATAGATAAGATCAAGTAAATAAACCACTAGATGAAGGTCATGGTGGTGCCATTACATGCAATAAATCTTGTATAGAGAAGATAAACTCCATGTTATTCAACTTTTAATAAACTGAAACTATTAAAACTGGTAAAAAGTTGATGAAAATGAAACTAATCTTTGTTATACAGCAGAAAAAAGAAACGCAGAATATACATACTTGTGTATACAAAAAGACAGTCACTTCTAAAGGCTATACTTAGTCCAATAGTTTTCTTAAGATAGACTTCTGTTGAACATGATGGATGTAATAATCAGCCAGCAGAGGGTATTGCATTGCCAGTTCTCTAACACAGATGCTATATAGTACTGTAATATCTTGGGCAGAAACGAAGGAACTAGAACAAGGTAATCTTAATGACTTTCTGGACCACGAGCTGCCACCATTACAGCATCGAAACTAAACAACCAAAACATTTTGAACATTTCTACATCACTATAGCAAGTGGAAGTCATGATGTGCCTGAATATCACTTGTATACTTTCTTTTTTTTCAGGTTTCTCCCAACACAACAAATAAATTTAACTTTAAAATTAATTATTTTTAAACTTGCAACTCACTTTTTATTCCTAAAATACACCTGCACATTATCAGACAACATAAAAATCTTTAAAAAGAACTAACTACAAGAATAAAAGCCATTAACAAAGCACTACAAGAATAAAAACAATTAACAATGAACTATAACTAACTAAGAATAAAAACTGGTAACAATGATCTATGACAAACTATAAGAATAAAAACTGGTAACAATGATCTACAACAAACTATAAGAATAAAAACTGGTAACAATGAACTACAACAAACTATAAGAATAAAAACTGGTAACAATGAACTACAAGAATAAGAACTTTTAACAATGGTTTAAACTGCACTATACATTATAATAATCCTTTAACTTTCAATATCTAAATGAAAATTTAACATAAAACAATCTTATGACCTTTAAAAATGAGATAAAAGATAAAAATCCTACATATTTAAAGCAAATTGTCATTTAATTTAAAACTTTTAAAATCCTCACAATGATACATAAGAAAAAAGCTCTTTAAAAGAATTACATTAGGAATATGCAGATAAACCAATCACAGGATATACTTAATAACTCTTGAATGTATAAAAACATGATATACCCTTTAACACTTATCAGTGCACAAGTACATACTCAAAATCTCAAAAGTGTAACTAAATTAGAAAGAAACAAATCGCAGAGATACCCGGGCCACTTTAAGAGTGGACAGTCTAACACAGTCAATAGCAACCTTTTAAAATTCATAATTCAACTTCTTTGAAGATTCATGTTGAGTCTACGCTGCTCCCTTCCACAAAAAATGACAACACAGCACAACACGTTTGTAGATAAAACTAAGTCTGTTAAAACACATTAAAGAATATATATGAAAATACAACTTCAAAAAAAATTGAACAAAGATATAGCTGCACACTGAAAATTAGACTGTTTTATGTAACCTTCTATCATTATATGGAGAAAAAAAGGTCAAATAATACAAAACATCTTTTCAATCTCCACTTTTTCACATGGGTGAAAGAGCCAATGCATATCGTTACTAAACTCCAATATATACACACACTTGCACATCAGATAATAATAATATTTAAATCATAAAAACATTCTTGACTACTGTCCCTCCCATGTACTCATGAGTGTGGATGGCAGAGGGCACATTAAAAATAAAATACAAATAAATTAAATATATACAAAATATAAGCTCACTTAACCCCACCAACACAGCTTCTCAGTGTCATCATTGTCTTTTATTTGGCAGCTGTGGATGCCTTGAGAACTGTATGGATTCTCACCAGGTGTTGCTTTGCTTCACCTAGCTTTTTCTGCAGATGCTGGACCTCCTCTTTGTATCTCAATGGAAGACAGGTCTTTGCCTTAACCAATCTTCTTCCTGGTTGTAGAGGGACTAGTCCTCCATCCATTTGATTGCCATCTTTTAACAATGGTACTTGAGTAGAGGAAGCTGCTCTAACATGAGCCTTTGCATGATAACTTTAGGTGGCTTAATGGGGAGTTCCACTCTCAACCCACCCTTTGTCTCTTTACTTGTATTGCTTTAGATATTACAGCACCATATGGTATATTAGATTTTACAGCCTTCAAGGTCAAAATTCCCTTGTTGATAAATAAAACATTGAATAATCCAGCTGGTTACACTTATAGCCAGCATTTAGGTTTCAGTATGCAGGTCGTACCTTTTGTCTCCTAGTATTACACTTACAGCCAAAATTTTCATGCTTCAAATATCTATTTTGTAATGAAGCAATATTAAGAAAACTTTCAGTAAAACTGTTTGCTGATTAAAATATTTCAATCTTCATGACTGGAAGTATTCCTATGACAACCAAATAAAACCCTAGTACACCACATGTATATATTTGTTATGATATCTAAGCCATTATTTGTGTACTACTGACAATTTCACTAATATTTTGTCTTGTTCAAGTTAAAATATCTTTGTACTATGCTTATCATACATACCGAGTAAAACTGTATTCACTCTCTCATCATAGAGTCTTTATTACTATTGTCTCTTCCGTGAAAAATTCATGAACTTGCTACATACCAAGTAAAACTGTATTCACTCTCTCATCATAGAGTCTTTGTTACTATTGTCTCTTCCGTGAAAAATTCATGAACTTGCTACATACCAAGTAAAACTGTATTCACTCTCTCATCATAGAGTCTTTGTTACTATTGTCTCTTCCGTGAAAAATTCATGAACTTGCTACATACCAAGTAAAACTGTATTCACTCTC